AGCATGCGAAAATAACTTTAGCATTTTTACACACAAAGTTTAGAACTCAAATTTGCTTAAACTTTCTTTTGAATACAATTTTACTAAAAAGGTTTTAAAAGAACCAAAAATTTCTCAAACACCCAATTCACCCCCCTCTTAGGTGTGTTGCCATATCTAACAATTAAGGTTAACTCTATACCCATCATTAATGACATTACATACTTCCATTAGCAATAAACAATTATTAGAAACCTAAATAACCATCCTTAGACTCCACTAGAGTCATTAAAATGGGTAGAACTCCTTAAGGAATTCGAACAAAAACTCCCATACCTAAGAAACAACATGAAGATGCAAGAAGAGAAGGGAAGGCTTACCTAATGGTTTAGCAACCCTAAAAGGCCTCCAACACTCGTGCAAGTTGATCCCTAACAGAGAAGTAGCTACCTCCCATCGAACTCTCTCAATCCCTCTCTTCCTCTATCTACTTGATACCCAAAAATTGAATTTTAAAATCCATCATGGCCATTACGAGAAATGACCTAACATGGGAACCCTCACTTAAGCCAATTAAATTGGACTAAAAGTAATCCAATTACAACTAGGGTTTGAAATTAAATCCCATATAAGGTTCAATGGACCCAATAGTCATCTAATTACCTAATTTAATCTAATTAGAATTCATATTAATTAATTCTTATTTAAATTTCAAAATGTTACAAGCCCAATATGTCATCCACCATGATGGATGGCACCTTACATCATGGTAGATGCATGAAAATTTTCTTAAATGAAATATAACAGAAGAGGAAAACAAAGAAAATATAAGGGAGAGAGTTATGGGCTATTAGAGTTTGTGTTGGCCAAATCTTAGAGGTGATTTTGGGCAAGAAATCACTAAAGTAATATTCTCATTCCACTCTCCTCCCTTTTTATGTGAATTTTAGTTAAGTTTTTGGGTTGGAAGTTGATGTTTTCTGAAAGGAATGAAAGGGTGACATTACAACGAAATAAGACATTTTTCTTGAAACTATTCTTAAAGAAAACATAAAAAAAATCAAGAGAAAAGGTATTTCTCTTGGATTTTCTCTCGAGTAAATTAAATGAGTAAAACGTAATGACCCTAAATTTTAAGTCGAATAAAAAATTTTCCTAATAAATATTTTTATTTAAATAAGTTTCATAGAAATTAAAAAGGGGGTAGTTATAGGAAAATTATGTTAGAAATTTGTGCAAGGCTTAAACTTTTTTAAGAAAAACCTTGCTTTTAAATTATAAAAAAATTTTCATGTTCTTTATTGTAATTTTCTTGTGCCTTTCATTGTAATTTTCTCATGCTCTTTTTTGTAATTTTTCGCATGCTCTTTATGTTCTGATTTCATTTCTTTTGTGTGAAGAAAAATAGAGCATCTTTGATTCATTTTTCTCACCGCCTTCCTACACTTTTCTAGATCCTTCAAGTTGGTCCATTTCTTTAACCCCTACTAATACACTTAGCTTGCTGTTGACTGACCATTTTACGGCTATCATTGCTTCATATCACCTTACCTTCTCATCCTCGTCTGCTAGCCACTATTAAACTGAGTTGCTGATTCTCTCCCACTATATTGTGCTGTTTCATGTCCACGAGAGGCTGTTATTAGTTTGCTATCTTAGCTGCCACCTTCCTCTTCTCCTCGGTCTTTGTTCATCAGTCACAGTGAAGAGGTATATCTTCCTCATTTTCTTGCTCTGTTCTGTGGTGAGTTTAAGTGCACATGGGTGGTCAGTTTTTTTTTCTCTTTTCTTCCTTCCCTGTCACCGAAGTTTAATGTGTTTGTAGGTGGTTGCTGCTTCTTTTATTATTGGCTGAAATCATAGTTTCTTCCTTCTCATGTGTTGATAGATTTGAACTCTTATTATCTTCTTCTTCGATGCTGTTCAGTGGCTAAATCATACTTGTTGCCATTGAGCTTTGTTGAGGTGATATATTATTTTCTTTCTTTCCTCTTTAGACTATGCAGCACCACTGAATCATTCCCTCCTTTTTCCAGCTGATTGACGTGATCCTTGTTCTTTATTCTTGATACTCTAATACTTGGGTTGGAAGTTCAGCCTAAGATTAATTTTTCTGCCTTCTATATGTTAGATGTAGTGAACTGGAATTTCTCTACATTAGTACTGCTGGATGATTTTCTTTTGTTAGTCTTGAGTAATATATAAATAATGGATGGTGTGATTTGAATGTTAATGCGCTTATAGTGTTGAGAAATAAGTAGAAGAGTAAAAGTGGAGTAATTAAGTATATTCAATGACTAAAGACCAATATTATGGATTTAGGAATTGTTTTTAAGAATTTTGATCTATTTTCGATAAAGATATGTGTTTAGAAAGCATATTGAAATTTTTTATATGGTTGGATTAAGGTCAAGTTACCAATTTGATAAGGAAATAATAAATAATTGATTTTAGAATTTTTGATTTACTTGCTAGGAAACTAATAGTGTCATTGGAATTAAGGTAAGAGGTTGGAGAGAATAAGCTTTAAAATTTGAGAAACTCTCAGGCGAGTGGATAGCATTCTAAGTAAATTCTTAGTAAAGTATTTATAAAAATCTCCCTATTTAGAATTTTAGCATTAATCTTTTATAAATTGTACAAATGTTCTCATTTATCCTATTTTCCTAATAATTGTTTTATTAAAGAGAAGGTGTTGATTTTATTGGTAGTTTATATAGTTGACAAGTATTGATGAAGTAATAATAATAATAATAATTGATTAGTATTTGAAAGTGGAAAAAAAAGGAAAAGAAAATTTTGAAATTGTTCTCTTGCTTTATACATGTTAAAGTTTACTGAGGGGGATTGAGTTCAGAACACTGGATGCTAACGGCAGTTTTGTTAGCCCTTGGCGAGCCATGGTACACCTAACTAGTAGGGTGCTTCTGGGAGGTGCTAGCCCATGCACAGGCTAACGCATGTGGAATGAAAGGATGGTTATTCATGAGCATCATACTCACGCTTGTTTTCATGGACTTTATGCTTGTGCTTGATTCGTGGCTCCTGCTGTGCTTGTTACGTGGTTTTTAGCCATGCTTAATTAGTTATTTACCCTCATGGATTGTGTGTCCACACTTATTATTCATTCTAATAAATCCCTCCTAAATTTTAGTAAACTTTTTCAATTTTCTATTTATTCTCTGAAAGCCTTTTTATCGAATTGCATCATTATTAAATATTTTTATATTTTATGAGCAGCGGGATTTTTATTTTAAACATATACACGTGACTTAACCAGCATTGACTAATTTCACGATCATCTTATGAAAAAGAAAAATTTAAGATTGTTATCTATTTCTAGTTAAAGATTATTTATTATTTCATTAAGGCATTTGAAGTTAAATTTATTATTTATGATCCTTATATTTTCTTTACTACAATTTTGATTAGAATGCTACTCATCGGTAAATTTTTTACCTCAGATAGTATAGCTGACCCTATGCCTTCAGCTGACCATTAAGGGCCTTCTTGCTTTTTGGGAAAAAAGGAAACACATGGTGATTATTCTTTTTGGTGAAATTTCATTCTGCATTTTGTAAATTATAAGTTAGTGCTCCACGTACCTTATGGTTAGGCATTAATCTCTTTTGTTATAATGTAAATTGCTAAAATGGAGATAGTCTCCTTGTTGGTTGGCTTGACAGATTTTGTTGTTGTTGTGAAAATTTCGGGAGGCTCAAATTATAGGGGAGATTTTGCCGAAATTTTCACAAAATATTTAGACTTCGCTAATTTTATTATTAATGTATATAACTTATGTATACTGAGATTTTAGCTAAATCCTCATTAATCAAGGCTTATGGAATATGAGCTCACCTCATATTCCATGCCGATCATACCTTTAAGTATTGGGGTGTGAAAAAAAAATTTGTAGAAATTTTTTTTACATCTAAGAGATAGATTAGAACCCATAAGAAACCTTCTATTTATAGACTTGCTCTCTAGTCAAAGTATCTAGAGCATAGATGTGTTCTTGGCAGCCATGAAAAGCTTTCTTTAATTTAAGAGTAGGGTAATCTCATATAAGAAATCTCCTATGGCCAAGTTAGATCATCTTTCTTCCATGTTGAAGTTGATGGTAGCATGTATTTTTTTCACAAATTGAACATGCTTTGTGACTCTTGATACTATACCTAGATAATTCCCATACGCAGGAAAATTGATTGTTTATAGTGCAAAAGAATAATAATAATAATTATGATAATAATATTATTATTATTGTTGTTGTTGTTGTTGTTGTAAGTTGTAAATTGTCTTCCTGGAACAACCTTTTTTTCTTGTCCTGACGCTGCAAACTTTAAAAACTCTTCTACTTTTATGGAACGTGAATTATTAATTAAAATAATCTTTGGAAGAATTGATAACTTCCTTATGATGGCTTAATGAGATTTAAAAAAGAAAAAAGGATAGAAATCTGAACTCTTTTAAGAATATTTTTAAAAGTCTATTATATAAAAACATGCGTAAATTTTTTTAAAAAGAATATAATGAAAACTTCCTTTTGCATTTGAATCTGGTCAAGAAAGAAAAAACTCTACGGTCTTTCCACCAATCCCTGCTTCTTTACCCTATCACTACTCTCTTTTTCCTCTCTATTAAAGAATTCCTTCTCATTTGCATGTCTGATCCCACCTCTTGTTCCTCTTTGTTTCCTGCTACTCCTGTGTCATCGATCGTCTTCTTCTCGGATCTCATTTTCATTGCTTCCTGCTATGTTCTTCTGAGTTTTGTCTGATCTTTGTTTCAAGCTACAGAGGGAACCAATAAGAATCAGACTATTGATTGCCTGAAACAATCCCGAGCTCGTGTTCTTTCATGCTACTCCTCTGATTGTTCATCTTGTTTGCACCCTTTTTTACTATTCACAGGAATCATGTTGGAGACATAGGTTGGCACTAAATGTAGGTACATTTCCCGGTGAAAATTTTAACCTTGATTTGCCACATTGTGAGGGACTAGCCCCTCCCACTAAACCCAACCCCCCGTTGGTTTGTTTTGCACTCTTTGCTGCTTTTTTCGTGTCTTATTAGCTCAACATCGTAGAATTTGATTGAGGTGCTAACTGCAATGAGGAAGCAGTATCACCAACATTTTTATGGCTTTAGTAAGAAAGAAAAAGATTCAAACTGGAAGGTGCCGTGCCATGAAAGGCTACAAGAACTGTTGAAGAAGAGGTTCATTTCACCGGAAAATCAAATTCAAACTGGCGTTATTGAAGATACCATGAGTTATGAGTTGTATAACGCTGTGGTTGATGAGCCTGAAGATGTAAATAATTTTCTTGATGTCTTAGAGAAAGTATGCAGAGAAAATCAACTGGATTGTTCCACCGTTTTGCATCAAGCCACTCCTATGGGTGAATCTCTGCTTCATGTTGCAGCTGAATATGGGAAAGAAGGGATCGCAGAGTTGCTTTGATAACAATTTTTCGCTAATTGTGACGAACATTAATGAAGACACTGCATTTCATGTTGCTGCAAGAGCTCAGAATATTGGAGTAATGGATGTCATTCTGTCCAAATTCGATGATTCTAGTAGAAAGGACAGCTTTATTATGTTACCCAATAAGTCTGGGAAAAGAGCTCTGCATGAAGCCATTTTGAGCGAATATGTTCAGGGGATTGATTTCCTTTTAAGTGAGCAAAGTGAAAGTACTCTGTCCCTCTATTGGGACACTCACCCAGCTGACTCACCAATATGTATGGCAGTCCAGACTGGGCATATGGGAATTCTTGGTCGTTTCTTGAGTATTTTATTTCCCTCCAACCGGTTCATTAATAGGAGTGATGGAAACTCTCCACTTCACGCCGCCACATCAGCAAAATATATGGGTATGTACATGCGCATTATCAAACACTTTATATTAAATATGTTCAAGAGTAGTTTACTTTATCAAAATAGTTTAGGTCATTTGGTTAGACATCCTTCAAATTTTATATATATATACTTTTTTAATTTTTAGACACGGAACTTCTTTATCTCTAGTATTTCCTCTGCTATTTTTCTTTTTTTTTTTTCTTGGATTTTTTTTTCATTTTCTTCTTCTTGCCAAAAGATTAGTTGGCTAAGGCCTAAGCTTTTGAGTTTTTTTTTTTAATTTCAGATCCAATAGCTCATAATATCATATTAAACTTTTTATATTAAGAGTGCTTAAGGGTAGTTTACTTCACCAAAATGTTAACTGATTAGGATTTTCTAAGAGTCAATTAGGTTGTCAATCATTGTTAGTTAGTCCGTTGCTTTATGAAGGACACATGTCACATTCTGCTACTAAGACCATTGCCTTCATATTGTACCCAGCTGAGAATAATGAATGAGAAGTTTGGATACATATCATATTTTCTCTTCTGCGTGGTTTCATCTTAAGGTATAAGAGCCTGCCACGCTGGCCGCTCTGACTGCCTTCAACCATTGACTCTCCAGCATACAAGTACGATGATCTCCTTTGAGGATTGATTATTGTATGTCAAAATGATGTCTGCTACTGGATCCAATGTTAAGATGATCGATGTGTTTCCTGTTACGGCAATGTTTCAACGTGGTTTTTCAAATAAAAATTCATAGTTCGATTGGATGATCATAATTACTTGTTGCGGAAACAAGTCTACCTTATGGTCAAGCAGAATGTTCACACAAATTCCTTGATGGTGAGGTTGCGATTTTGGCTACTGTGATTTGTAATCCTGAAGGTCGTGAAATAGGTTTGAAGTATCAGTCACTTGACTTTGCCATAGCGTATCTCGAGCAAGATTAATAAGCTATACTCAAATTGATTCCAAAATACTTTTGTACCAGAATCAACTCAACAATTAGAAAAAGGAAGATTTATCAAGTTTTATATATTTATAATTTATCTTTTAATTTCTAGACGTGAGACTTTTTTATCTCTTATACATGTGACGCCGGTTTCATTAACCAATATGTTGCTTTTGTGTTTGTCCCCCAAGTACTATCTTTTATTATATATGTTTGCTTTTATGTGTAGATTTTTTGAAAAACATAGTGCATAAAAAAGAAGAGCTAATGCACCTGAGAGACGAACATGGATACACTCCTCTTCATTATGCAGCATACACTGGTTACGTGGAAGGTATTCGTGAACTTTTAAACAAATCTACCCTCATCGCCTTTCAACGAAACTCAAAATATAATCTTCCGATTCATGTTGATTGTGGTCAGGGCCATGTTCGAGTGGTTGAAGAATTGCTTCGCGTACAAGGGCCTTTTACCAGTTTTTGGTTCAATAATAATGGTCGAAACGTTCTCCACATCGCAGCAAAGAGAGAACGAAACAAGATGGTAAAATACCTATTGAAACAGCCAAAGGTCCATTCCAAAACTGTGAATGAGAAAGACCTAATGGAGACACCCCACTGCATCTAGCTTCCAGAAAGCTGCATCTTTGGACTTTATTCCATCTATCACGAGACAAAAGGATAAATGTGAGCCTTGTAAATGATCAAAGTTTAACAGCTAGAGATATTGTCCGAAGGCAGAGTAAATTCCCAATGACTCATAAAGAGGTATGATTTATATATAAGCATCTACATATCCATTTTATGCTCTTTTAATCTCTTCTTTTCTCTAACAGGTTATGATTTTAGACAAGTTGCAGTTTTATGAAAGAGTACAAGATGTAAACATGTGCTTGTTTGATTTGGTCACCTTGCAGTTTGGAGCATACGTGATTTAGGAACTGCTGGTGCCTCACTCAAAGAAAATAATTTGAGACGACAAACGCCTGTAGCAAATAAAGAATGGAATGTGAATGATGGGGCCAACACTCTCATGATTGTCATGATTGTGGCAGTATTAGTAGCCACAGTGACATTTGCAGCTGGTTTCACAGTACCTGGTGGGGTATACAGTTCAGACGACACAGTTCCTAAAGAAAGAGTCATAGCAGTGTTGAGCGATCAAACTCTGTTCAAAATATTTATGGTGTTCAACACGATTGCTATGTATTGCTCCACTTTCGGTTCTGTTATTCTTCTTTGGATGCATTTGGCTGATCATCATTTTTCAACTCGAGCATATTATATTTCTCATGTTTTTATCAAATTGGCTCTTATTACTATGCCTGTGGCATTCATGGCTGCCATACGTTTGGTTGTCAGCAATAACAGCTTGCTTGCAGGTCTAACAAGTGTCGTCGCATTCTGCTTCATTTTCCTTATGCTACTTCTTACACTTCTAGAAAGGTTTCCTCTTGGAATTCGTCTTCCATTTTTCCGTCAAGTTGGACAACTTCTTCTTTGGATGGGTCTTATTTTATTTTATGGAAGTAAGGATTGGCAGATTTATGATGTTGGTGAGATACAACTAGACGATGAAGATGGTATAGCCAAGCCAGTCAACGCCGCCTAATAGGGAAACCATGTCACCTAGTGTCCCTCGTGCTATTGTAAGAACTATTTTGATCGATGATATTGTATAACCCAAGCCGTGAAGACTTTCTTACTGAGGTAATTAATGTTTTTGATCTACTCTTTTAATTTAATTTATTTTGGGTACACTCAGTATATGATGGTATTGAGAAAATGCACTTCACATCAGCAAGTGTGTGATGAGAGTAGAGCTCACAATTAGTCAGCTGGTTGAATAGGGATGTGATAGTATGATGGGGAATCTTGCCCAAGAGATTCTTGTTTTCTAATCTTGTTCTTGTTTTCCAGTCACTTGCTAAATTGTAATTTTGTGATCTTTGATCAGCCACCAAGTACCATTTCTGCAGATGGGGGCTGATAATTGATGGTGGTTGTTGTTAGACTTTGTTTCTTTTGATTAATGGCAGTGTCCTGTTTTTATTCGGGGGGGAAAAAAAAGATACATTTTATATACATTTTCTTATGTAATTTTGTAAAATTAGTTTTATTATTTGTGATTTTTGAATAATGTTACTTATTAATTAGCTACATTTTTCTACACAAAGTAGAGACTTCAAAAACCAAGTCATATAAGCCATATGAAGCTAGCTTAAGTGGCCCATAAAAGTGGGGTGAGATGTGGTGTGGTAGAGAGAGGTCAAATAACTTGATTATATTATTTATTTCAAACTTGCCAAAATATTTGGTCAGAAAGTATCAACAAATAGGGGTAGAAATAGAATTGGCCGAGCTAGGTTTTGGCCAAATAAGTCTGAACTTATATAGTAAGTTAGAGGTCTGAGTATAGCCTAAAGCCTTTATAAGACTTTTCTCACAGCTCAAGCCTGAACTTACCTAAAGCCTGGTTTGACTTGAAAGCCTATTTAAAAGCCTACTTAAATGTAAGCCTTTTCAATAATCTTGCATTTTAATTTTAAATGTCTCAAATATACTTTAGGACTATTAGTATAAACATATAACCTGATTTATCAATTATAATATATAATGATTAAAAGGACTTACCAACTATAATACAATGCAATAATAAAGTAATAGTATTAAAATTAATTTATAAGTCCAATATGATTGAAAACATAATTAAAAATAAAAAATATATTGATTAGAAATCAAATTGTGAAACTAATATGTGTGTGATATATTACATTATATGTGTGCGTGTGTGTGTATAAATAGGCTGGCCTGATGAGCTTATAAGCTAAGCTTTAAAAAATTAGGCCTATTTAGACTTGAATCTAACTTGAACCTTTTAGTAAATAGGTTAAGCTGGGTCTAAAATAGGCCAGGGTGTAAGTAAGGCCTTGATAAGGGACTGGTCTATTTCCACCCCAATAAATAAGGTACTATTTAAACGGAGAGATTCCTCCTTCATCATTTCTAATAATGATACCATCCTTACATAGAACCAAATAAATGCAAAGATTAACATCCATATGCATTTAGAATAAGAAATGATCAGCTTCATTTCTAATTAACCATCCCAAGTTGTTGCTAGATTGCCCAAAACAGACCCATGGTGATTGATGAGTACATAGATAAAGCAACATAGTTTACAAAGTAGACATAGCCAAGGGAAAAGACAACACTAAACTGACCTTCCTCCATCATTAAGCCATTGCTTTCCTAGTTTACCCATACTTGTAATGGAATACACATATCCTGCAAAAGCGCAAGTTCAACAAAATTAGATAGAGATGCCAATAGAATATATTCAAAGGCTGACACAATAATCAACACACATTCTATATCATGAACACAAGTCCAAAAAAAAAGCTTATCCCCAAAGATTAGCCTGTCAAGTGAGAGAGCTTCTCACACTTATAAACCCCACTCAACTTGTGAGGTTTTCTTATGTGGGAGTCATGACAATAACACCTTGTTGAGAGAAGACATCCTTAGTAGTTCTATTCCACTATATTTCACTTAGCCTCCTACCAGTTGGAGCTTTCTGTGGGTAGCCCTTTCCATGGCATCATCTTTCAATGAAAGCATCAATTGTCATGAGCACAAGCTTAAAGGGAGAGCTCGTCTTAAAAGATTAGCTTGTTGAGTGGAAGAGCTCGTTACACTTATAAACTCTACTCAAATTGTGAGGTTTCTTGATATGGAACTTTTGACATTCTATTGTATAAGCATGTAGTTATGGCATACAACATCTGCATGCACATGTCACACTAATTAAAGGCACTGAAGATTATGAAAAGGAGCAATAAGATGCTATATTGGTCAACAATGCTCCAAACAACTTCAATATCATTAGCAAGCAAATTTCCAAGGCTATAGAAAATGCCCAATTCCTAGGAACGATGTTATTTCAGACTATTTTGCCATTAATATTTTTTATTATGACAACGTCGCCCTAACAAATCTAAAGCACCTATCAATAAGTTGTGCCACCATCTTCTCCCCTGCACTTGAAGTACTTAAAGCCTATATATAGATCATCCCAAATAGCCTACCACGAAACAAAAATACATTTTACCAAGAGCAACCCTGACTCTGAACATAAAAGAAGCGAAACACAATATGATAGCAGCACGTCAAGTCTTGTATATATCAGATGGTCAAACCCATTCATAACTCTTAGTTAATAATATTTCTAAAAGCCTAATAAATGATAGAATACAATAGCATCGTGCAATTCATGTGGCAAACTCCATTTGGTGGGATAAGGCATGTTGTTATTATTTGATACTTTATAATTAGACTGAACATTAAAAGTGGATCATACAGCTAAACCATGTACATTCATCTTAATCCTTTATTTGTCTGCATCATTATTCCCTCAAGGAAGAAAACTCTAAGTGTCTAGGTAAGGGCACACTCATCATTAATTATATTGTAGCCTTGGCATCTAGAGAGATGTTTTGAGCTTGATGCTGTCTCAAACTCTTAGCCGGAGTATATCATGTTAACTTGATCTTGAATTATTATATCGTCTCCTCCACATTAAATATTAAAGTTTGAATGCAAAAGGAAAATATACAGAAGGAGCAGCCCTAGCAAGTTCTGCTGAATGAGAGAGGAATCCTGCATATGCCATCAAAAAGCCTTTAAAATTAGGAAATGGAAATTCCTAAGCTGAGTGTATATGTGCCATAACTTCAAAACAAGTCTCTTCTCAGCTCCTACATTAAAAGTTCTCTTCTACTCCTTGTCAACCATCTCTATTCTCATTTATACGGGGAAAATAATAAGACAGATCACTTTGTATGGACAATTGTTTTGTGTGACTTACCAAGACGTTGCTTTAACATTTAGTGACGTTCATCACAAAAATATTTCAAATAGTATATAAGCCATTTGTAGAAAGCCCAAGGTAACAAATAGTGCCCTTCTAAACAGAAAATCTGTAAGGAACAAATAGTTTAATAGTATAAAAAATAATAAATAAAAACCATGAGAGTGTCAATAGCAAAAAGCTGAACCCTTGTAAGATAGTGGAATAATGCTAGGCAGAAGTGTTTGTACAACATCTGCAAATAACAGACTACATAGGCAAGTCTGGGTTTATACAAATGGATTACAACACAAGCATGGCCAGTTAACGTGTAACATAATGAATGATGACAAAGTTTATGCATACAATAAATTTGCAAGAAAAACATTTAAACAAGAAATGGCAATGAACTGGAGAAAACTTTTAATCTTGTTTTATTTATTGCCTGTTTTCAGAATACGACCCCAAGGTAGATAGACAACATAATTCGCTTCTATGATCAATAGACACTCATATACGGACATAGCTAATGAAGCAGTAAGCATTACATCTTTAATTGATTATTGCAAAGCAAACGGAAGTAATTAATAACCAGGTCAACAATTCAAAGTGCACATGCATGATGATGAGTGATGACCCTGGTCAAATAAATCCTGAGGATATTGAAGAGAACTTTTAAATGAGATTGCTAGCATTTAGGAACTTATACTTCTACCCTTCATGAGCTGTACTGTTTAGCTTGTATTTTACTGAGTGGTGCTTACTTTGTGTCAATTGCTCATGATTTGCACTACCAATTGTGGTGGGTTAAAAACACATTTTTCCCCCATCATTTTTATTTTTATAACACCACCACATTACGCCCGGTCGGGAGCTAAAACAAGTTATTGTCTATATTTTGATTTATATGGGGTGGAATTTTCTTAAATGAAATAGGAAGAAGCATACGTTTAGGTCTCCCATAATACAATTAAATATCACAAAATCTTTTAACAACTAAGGATAGCAAAATAATAACTATTGTGGGAATACTTAGATGTAACTATCCCAATAAAATAAGGAGGTGTTCTTATTTTTAATATTCACAATGATAAGAAATTTAAAAATAAAACAAGTAGTTATTTATAAAATTATCAAGTCAATATTTAATAATGATTAACTCCTTTTAATTTTTAATTCTTCCCGTACACTACATGGGGTTAAAATCTATTTAGTAAAGTAATTACCCATGTGCTTCACCATATGCTTGATTGTTCTCCCCTCCCTGCTTATGTGTTAAATACAAGTTGGGAGACTTAGACTTCTATGAATAAAAAATTTAAGCAAAGGGAAGTTGAAATTACTTGTTTCATTTTAGTGATTGTCCAAAAAAAAAAGTAGTCATTGCTTGAATAAAAATAATCACGAATATTACAACATTTGGATTTTAATGAATAAAAAAATTTACATAGGGGAAAGTTTTAATTGCTTATTCCATTCTAATCATTACTAGAAGAAAAATAATCATTACTTAAACTAAAACAATCACTTATGTTTACTTTTTTTGGGACTAGGGCTGTTATATATATATTTTTTTAAATTTTAAACTTAGAGTATGTTAGTCATTGTATCAAAAATATTAATATGAGAAAGGTCTTTAGAGACATGAGAAGAATTATGACATTTATCTCCCCTATTGTCCTTGATCACCACTCACCAGAACCATTTACCTCTTCTTTTTGTAACTTTTGTGTTCTTTGAACCCAAAAATAGATGGTTCTTAATATAAATCAATATTAATAATGTATATTAAATA